AATAACGTTTTTTAAAGCTTCTTCGATGAGGAAAATTGTTAAATCTCAAGATTACATGTGCGCCAAGTGATTATGATTAACACTAACTTAACAAAGTAATCGTATTGATATTGAAACAAATTGACAAAAACTGTTTTACTTCGATTACATTAAGGTTAGTAGAAAAATAAATCAGCACATATAGAAAATTCTTGATCTTGTAGTTAGCTTTAACTCTAAAAATATTATAAAATTATAACCCTATAAGAAAACATTTTTGAATAAAGAAAAATTATGCATAATTAGAACACACGCAGTTATATAATAAATAAATATGTAAATGTAATAACTCCCTTAAAATTTTTCTCAAGGGATTTTAATTCATAATGGTCTTGAGCTCTCCAATAATTTGCGTGATAATTAATTTTTCGTTTACCCACCTAACGAGAAATAACCACAATTTTATATCCCAAAAAACTGAAACTTCAGTCTTTTTAAAAAAGGATGATACAATCTTGCATCATCTAAGTATCCGGAGCACTCAGAAAAGCCTTTACCGGAAATCATATGACTAAGGCACCTTCCGATTGACCAAAACTATAAAGGGTTGAGATTTCTGGAGCGAACAAAGAATGTTTTAGAAGATGTTTTCTCCTCAATTGTGTATTGACAACCCCACCAGAAATAATATTTTAATACCAAAATACCTCAAATCAAGCCTGAAAATTGTTTTATATTGTTACGCTGATAGGGGTTCGAGGATTTTATGCAAATCAGCCGCAAAGAACAAAACAGTTCTTCAGGAGCGACGAGAATTTATAATCGAAAAACAATCCTTAAAAAACAGGATTAAACAGCTATATTCGCAAGATAAATCTCAGAAGGTCTTCACACCTTCAACAGCGCTCATACACAACTATCAGTGTCTAAAATGAAAGTACGTTAAAGATTATGCACAAGCAATCAGGCTCGTCTTACTTAACAGCCGAAGTAATCACTAATCAATGGTCGACTCTTCAACGGTGAAGGCAATACTACTAATCACTAGTCAAAATAATACTAACTCAGTTTCGGTGAGTTACTCCCTATTTATAGGCCTCAAGGATCCTTCGAGAAAAATCCGCTTGCGTCATAAATCGTGATATTAATGTATTTCTCCACTAATTTCCAGAAGAATCCATAGGGTCACCAACATGGTTACCAATATGTTCGCCAAGTCACCAGCATGGTCACTAAAAGTGATACCAAATTGGCTGTATCGCCCAGATTTCGCCAAGTTTCCATTGAATCACCATTATAATGTAAGGAACGGTACTGCTTGCGAATATTACAATTTTAATATAAAACAAATACAACATAGAGTATTATAAACATATTGCACATTCAAATATGAATTACTTACACTATTTTACGCAAAATTCGTAACAGTATATTTATATATAAGCCTTTCCGAATAAAAAGCTTTTACACCTCAGTACTCGATAGTAATGCAGTAAACCTAAAACTGGGCATGGAATGCTATAAAAACCATTCTTTAATATTTCATTTAAGAGTTGTTCAATTTATATTTCTGAACACTGTCTGATTCCTAACTAATTAATTCTTATAAAAAAAACTTTGCGCTGATTATTCTGGTTCACAAGATAATGAAAACAGGGTTACGAGTAATTATCACATTCGTGCAAGATCAAATTAATACCTATCGAATACACCTCGATTTCGCCGAGCAAATGTTGAATTTTCAGCTTAATTAAAAAAAGATTATATAACCTTTTATTCGAATTTACTAAACAGAAATTGTTTAATTAAGCAAACATTTATTTTCAAAAGAAAATGTTTATAATATTTTTGAAATATTGCTCTACACAAATATTTGAATTTACCCGCAATATTAGTTTAACTAGAAAAATGGGAAACGAAATCATTTATTGGGAGAATTTATACGGATCAAAATTTATAAGAGAAAGTGTATAAGAAAATCATCTCGGTTAATTAGAAGAAAGAATAAAATATTTGAAAGTACACTACACACAATCAGAAGCAATGGGACATTTGAGATTTAAGCATTTCTTCGAGTTTTTAGAGAAATATTAGAGCAAATATGTATTGGTGTACTTTAAAAGAACATAAATTCTATCAGCTACTGGCCTCGCAATTATTAATATTGATAAAATGACGATGACGACATCTGAGCTGGCACCTCACTTTCCAAATTTCCAACACCACGTCAACATGAAGACTTTGAGCTTCGACATATTTAACGAGCATCGGCCCTTCTACATGACAAACTTGCGCATGTAACGAACATGCTTAAGGTATCCGACTACGTTCGGAACCGTGATTTTGCAAAAGTGTATAAATGGATAATATTTATGATATTTAGTGTCACTTAGATTAGAAAACGTATATATAAAATTGTTTTAAGAATATTATTACAATAAAAAATTATTTAAGCAAAATATTTTGACAAAAAATGAACATAGAAGGACCAATTTTCAAAACATTCTCCTTTTATGAGAAATGTTTCTATTATAATAATATTTTGCCTGTATGTAGCTCAGACCTCTGTACAGGGGCTCAACTAGAATGTTTGAAATATATAACTTAGAAGTGGGTTTATATATATCCATATTTTATAACAACAAAGGGGAGAAAGCCAATAATTATTTCAATTGGTGATAACTCTGAAAATAATGTGAATTTTTCAAAAATCCTTGTTAAGACTCTCTGGAGAAGTGTTTTTTTTTTATCTAAGTAAAATATTATTAGTATAGAAGCGTTTTTTATAAAAGGAGAACGTTTTGAAAAAAGGTTATTCTAAGTTAATTTTTTGCCAATATATTGTATTTAAATAATTTTTTTTGTCATAATGTCCTTAAAACAATTTTATACATGTATTCTAATCTAAGTGACACTAAATATCATGAAAATTATCCATTTATGTGCTTTTTTAAAATCACGGTTCCGAACGTAGTCGGATACCTTAAACTCATTTTTTTATCAATAGAGTCTTGGAGTCTTGTGTATTTAGGGAACTACCAGCAAATTTTTTTTGTAAAAAAAAGTAACCCCAGACTTTTATAAGTTAAAAACACAAGTGTTTTTTGGAACTAACTCTTTTGAAGCAATGTAATTAAATTAAAAAAAAATTAAGATGATTTTTAATACCAACTTAACAAATTAACCTAATTTACTTTATAGCGTATTAATACCAGCTGTTTTGTTTCAACTACATCCCATTTAATGCCCTTAATGAATGATTTATATATTAAACAATAACAGTTTAAAAAATTCTTTTTTTGGAAAAAATTATAAGTTGAATAATTTAAAAAAAATTTGCAAAAATTGGAATTCAATAAGCATTATATCCTTCCATAGTCATAATACAGAATAAGGCTGATTTGCCATTGATAAGATTAACTTTTCGGAAACATTGACCTGTATAGAAGACCGTACGTGTTCTCTCTTGCAGGCTCTTTATACGCTCTTAGGGAGAGAATCAGGTTCTACAACTGCTCTGCTAAGATAATCTCAACTATGCTCTATTTCAGGGGTGGTGAATCTTTTTAGATCAACGAACCATTTTTTTTTAAAAGAAGTCTTTAATGAGGTATAGACGTGTTGTCAAATAACTTTGACTTGTGATTATTGGAAAAACAATGAAACTATTAATACTAACCACTCAAAACTCTTAATTTACTTCTAAAAAAATAGCATTTACACTGTATTGTTGTAAATTTTTTAGTCATACGTGTAATTCAAATAAAATTAACAGTAGTGTGACTTCTGTTGTTGCAAATTGGATGACAAATAACTTATATATAAAGATTGGAAGATGTTACTATTAGTAGAATGCATGCTGAATTAGAGTCATCTTCCAAACGGTTTCTAAGCAATTAATAGTTTTTGCTGTGTTTCACTTTTTTGACAAGAGGACAGACGATGTTCTGCATACCAATGTTCCAGAACATGAAACACACACCACTTTGTCGCCATTACTAATAAGGCTATATTTCTCCAAGTTCTCCAAGTTTGAAATTCTCTGTTACACTTATTATCTTGCACTTTTTGTTCTTTTGCTGAACTAGCCAAGCTGAAAAACAGCTAAAAATCGTAAATAAACTTTAAAATACAGTTGTGTCAATGAAACTGACTATGTTATGAGCAGACAAGCTTTGCGTCGTAAGCAACTGTAACTAAGGCAAGACGATAACAAACGAGTGTCCGCCGCCCTGCGACCGTTCACTTGCGTTTGTTCGTAATACTTCATAGTGAATTTCGTTATTTTGAAATAAAATACAAACTGTTTTGATCGGTGGCGTGCCTAAAATATTGTCTCGTGTGCCATCAATGGCACGCGTGTCTCTGGTTTGCCATCCCTGCTCTATTGGATTTCAGTCAGTTAAACGGGACGGGCATTCCCTTTGCCTATTTTTCTGATCAAGATGGTATCTGTCTACAAGCATAGCTCAATGTGCTCAAGCATAGCTCAATATTATTGTCCATCAGAATAAAATTATCACCAATAGTGGTGACATATAATTTCACATGCCGGTCATTCTCAATACCTGCATTGAGCGCATGCAAGTATGGTGTCCTCTCAAAGAGATTCCAACCCACATTTACTATAAACTTCAACAGTGTTGTATCCATTGTAACTGGTTCTTCCTTAAAGTATTTGCTTACTTCTTCTAGATCAGAACACTACGAGAATCATTTTTTTAAAATAACGTAGACTGATCTGTAAAAATTATAGACTGCCTTTCATCCTTTATTCAATCGACATGCTCTCTAGTCCAATTTTATCGGAATCTTCTTTGTATTCAGGTTAATGGAAATTAGTCTTTTTGTGTACAAACCATCATTGTGAAAACGTCTTGGAACCGTAATAATCGAAATTTTTCTTACACATTTGTCGTGAAATGGACTCAAAAAGTAGATATCCAATAGTGTCTTTTTCTATGAGTGTATCCAAAAAGAGCTAAAAATGATATTTGAAAGCACATTATCAGAAATTAGGCCATTCCAGGTGGGATTCGAACCCACACCCTTTGGATTAGAAGTCCAACGCGCTACCCATTACACATCAGGGACAAAACGAACGATTTTCTTTTCTATGTATGCTGTTCGACTATAATTTTGTTTGTTACTATTTATTCATTTTTAATTTAATTAGTGAATTAATCTTTGAAACTGTATTAACATCAAGTGTCATCCACTACAAGTTTAAAATATATATTTGAACTTAAATGGAGGAACAGAAAGTATTTTATTAACGATTGAAAATTTGAACAAGATATATTTTTTTTATAAATAAATAAATGCATAAATAAATATATATAAAGGTAGAGAGTGAATGAATAGTAGGAATTAAAAAAAATGTTTTTCGTGATGCTGTAATAAATTTATTTATACATAAGGTATAGTTAGTTATAATTATATTATAGTTAGTTACAATTTTATAACTATACGAGCACTTTTATAAGGTAAAATTACAACAGTTAACTCAGTAAGAAATTAAGTAATAAGTGTAAGACTAAAATTTTAGAGTTTTGCTATAAATCATGATTATTTTGAAAAAAGGAAATATGAGAAGTTTCTTATTTCTTGTGGAATCATTCCTTACTTTCAGTTAAAAACTTGTGAAATAAATTACAGTTACTATACATTGTTATATGTTTCTGTAGAAAGATCGACAAATGTCGCCAGTCACGTATTTCTTGTTATATATTTGATTGGTGAGTCCACATAAACACGAACTTTATTCTGAATGAGATTTTTTTTTCATGCTGCATATTGCGAATTCTTAAGCACGAAAAATTTCCATTAATACTAAAGCAGAGGTACTTTTTGCACGTTTATTGCTAGAACAATTACCTTTCTGAATAGCAACAAAACAGTGCAAAGGGGAAGTACTACTGCAGTCCCTTAACTTATTTTCTGTAAAGAATAGACACAAAAAACCATTATTTCTTTAAACTAAAAATCCTTTTTTTTGATGATGATTCAAGCTGCACGCCATCAAGTATCTCAAAAACATCTAATATGTGTAACTCAATTTTTAACTAAATTATTGCGTTAAGAGGGAAAGTCCTTTTTAGAATGCAGAAAACATATAAAAAGGATTTGCCAGTATATTGATATAAGATATTCTGTGCGTTTAGCTTAATTTCATTACAAAAATAGTTTCGTGATTAAAATAAATAAAAACAGGTATTTTTTTCTCTTTTACAGATGGTTCATAATTGATGCGTTAAATAATTACCTTAAAATATAAAAATGAAATAGAATCGCTTGTTACAAATTATCCCTTAAATTGATAAATAAATAATAATTATTTTTTGTGTGTGGATATAAAACGTTTATTTCTATTTCTGTTTTCAATATCGCTTAATAAATGTGTCTTTGGAATTAAGCAAAAAATAAGAAAGAATGATCATCTAAAACAAATGCTCTAAAGTAGCATGCCTTGCATTGATAAGAATTTATTTAGTTTTGAATACAAAATAAAAATGCTGGTATATATATATATATATATATATATATATATATACATATATATATATACATATATATATATATACATATATATATATATATATACATATATATATATACATATATATATATATACATATATATATATACATATATATGAATATATATACATATATATATATATACATATATATATATATACATATATATATATACATATATATATATATATATATATATATATATATATATATATATATATATATATATATATATATATATATATATATATATATATATGATGTTTTAAGTCAACATCAAGCTTTTGTAAAAAACATTTTTATTCAGCGAGTAATAGACACGTCTTTCGCTGATAGAAAATCAACGCTAAGTGAAGATTTTAATTGGGCTGAATTCTTATTCAGAACTGTTAAAAAACACTTTTTAGCTTATGTTTGCAATTTGAAAGTGAAGGGTGGCATATGGAGACTATGAAACTTAATGAGCTGGGATTAAAAGTGTTATGTTTGGAATATCTTTTCTGAGAAATAATTGGGTATTTAATTTAAGACTCGAAGGTTGAAATTTAAAATTATCTCAATATGAAATTCATTAAATATAAAGTATTCCCTAAATTTGAACAAAAAATTATTACTATAATAGTTTTATTTGAAATGTTTCCTTCATGAATGTAAAAGAAATAGGATCAAATTCAATCGATTGATCGTAAATATTTTAGAATCAACATTTGCTAAGTAGAGAAAAAAAAAGGAAAGTGTTATTTCGTACTAGAGTTTCTGATGGGCTGTTAGTGTTAGACGTTAAAATTTAGAGGCAGAATGAGACCCAATGATGTGTGTGATTTTTCAATCTATTGCCTTATTCTCAAAATTTCTACAATGATAAAATTTCCATGTGAGTTTTCAGTAGTTTTGTATATATCAGAAGTACTTTTTTTAGTAAAAATGGTTTGATTTCATAAACCAAATTCCAGCCTTTCCAACCAAATTTCAACATTTTTTTTACGAATAAATTTTATAAAATCAATGACTTTATTCCTAAAAAAATATTTTTTCTTATTATTTTGAAAAATAATTAAATATTTTTTTAAAATTTTATCTTGGAATCTACCTTTTAGCTTTTCTATAAAAATCCCCCTATCTCTTTAAAAAAAATGCACACACTTTATGCATTTGAAATTCAGTTTTTTAAACAATAAAATCGAAAAGAGCCATATTATCTATCTAATATAAATTATTGTTAAATTATGTTTTTTAAATAGATTAATATGTAGGTTTATCAAACGTTATTGAAACAGATTTAATAGCATTTGATTTTCTCTTAATTATATACGAATCACAAATTATTTTAGTTGAGATGAAGTCTAGAAAAATAAAGCATCAACCCAGAGTGTATTCATTATTGTCCTCATTTCAAATATATACATATACTAGCTGGTATACCCGTTCTTCGCACGGGTAAATTGAAAAATTAAATATTGTAGATTGAAGGATAAAGAAGTTTTTAATGAGTTAATTTTCAGTGAATTGCAAACTAAACAAAAAAAAGAAGCTTTTTGACTATCTCAGCTGAACATTTAAAAAAACACATTTGTTAAATTTTAAGCCAATAGATCTAATAGCTGATAAAAGGGATTTTTTTATTTATTTATAACTCCCCGTAACTCTCTTGTCAATTGATTTTTGAAAACACCTTCCTAAGCTGGTCTCTGCTCAGCAAAAGTAACACATTGTTACAAATTTTGTGTAGTGAACGCTTAAAATAGTGTAAATAATTTATATCTGAAAGTGTAATACGTTAATATTACTTTCTGTTGTATTTATTTTATGTTAAAATCTTGCCACCACCTCTCCCTTCGAAGTATACTTTTATTATGAAATAAAAAAAATAGTGATTACTCTGATCAAATGAATAAATTAAAAGTGACCGAGCGTGCACTGAGGCATAGCGTAGACAAAACAAACAGGAAAAGTTTTGCTTCACTCAAAAAAGGATAGATATATATGCTGTCGTGGGATTTTTTGCAGATGGCAGATTTTTTCCCACTTTCTTGACAATTATCGTTATATTTTGGAAACTTCACACAATATCTTTATAGATTATAGCCTATGTGTTATTCTGATGTATAAGCTATATTATTGTAAAGTTTCATTAAAATCCATTCAGTTGTTTTCCGTGAAAGAGTAACAAACATGCATAGAAACTTTTGCATTTATAATATTAGCAAGGATATATATAGATTTTCTTATGGTAATTATAAAATATTTATGAAACAGATGTATTATTTTAAGAGTAGAAAATGTCTTTTCCCTATGCAATTAAAATTTTTAAAATTGTATGAAAAATAACTGAAAAATTAGTTATATATTAGAATGTTACGATATACAAATTAGTTAACCACTTACATATTACTTAACCATTATTTTCTAAATGCTCAAATGCAGAAAAAAGAACGCATCATGCAAATTTTAAATCGATGCATTTGCTGGTACATTCCACGAAAAAACGTTTCCTAGAATTAAAAATTTCAATTACTTGTTTCCCAACAAGAAATGAATAAAAACATGAAAGTAAAAATTTAACCAAATGTTGAAAGTCGTGATATACAAAACATAACAAAGCATAAATTTTATTTTTTAAGCATTCTCCTTTATTTGCACTCACATTGCATGTAAAATCCGTTTTCAAGTGTTTTGTAAAAACTGAAGTTGCGCAAATTCAGTGTTGCTTTTATTGTACCCATCATAAGATAGTTTTTACTTTTTTCAATTAATTGTTAATATAATTATGGTTAATGTTTTTGTATGGATTTCCAGAGAAGTAACTTAAAATTCAATTTCCATACAGCAATACTTTTGCGTCTACTTTAACTAAAAAATAGTGCATGATTTTTGATTCAAAATGCTCTACTTCAAGATAAAATAGTTTTAGAGTTGTAAATAATGTTTAAATAACAAACATAAATTAACGAAAAATTCTTTTTTATAACAATTATGTTATCTGTAGTGCGATTTTTTTTGAAAGAATAATTTAAAATTATAGTAAAGTGTATAAAATAATTTACGGTAAGCTTTTAAATTTTTTTCCCTGTAATAAAGAAAAAATAAAACATTTATGAAATTATGCCATTAACTCAGCTATTTTATGCTTTCATACTTGAAAATATTTTTGTTATAGTTTCATTTAAAAAAACATCTTTGTAGTATTCAAGAATCGATAAAAAAAGTTGAATGGATATTATATTGAATGTGTTGATAGGATTCTTTTGTTCCCTAAATGGTGTCGTTTCTTCAAGAAGTCTCTTTTTCATTTCATTGATGGAGTGTATGTGAGCAAATCATATCTCTTTCAAACACTTTCTTTCGTTGTTGAAATGTTATTTCTAAAAAAAATTCAGAAGACTTGTAGTTTTATTTCATAAAATTTTTTAGAAAGCTTTTGGGTGGTTGTAAGAAATTCTTAAGTAATTGTTCAAAATGATTGCAATTAGTAAAATTAATTAAAAATTACTAATGGTGAAGCAAAGTAGCTACAATTGATGTTTTATATTAAGCCCTTTTTTATTTTCCTTATAA